AAAAAAAAAAAAAATAAATTTTATTATTATTATTATTGTTATTGTTGTTGTTGTTTTTTTTTTTTTATAACGAAACGTCGTCATCGTCGTAATCGTCGTCGTCGAATGGAATTAATCAAGATTATTAAAAAGAAAATTATAATAACAATAAGCTAAACATTGTTACGTGGGAAAAATAATAATAATTAAAATTGCTTTAAGGTTGTTTCTAGAAGAAAACGTTTTGTTTCATTTCCGGTTTATCCTTAGCAAAAAAAAAACGATTCGGTCGATGAATGAAATGAAAAAAATGATAATGATAATAATAATAATGCAGACGATTTAAAAAAAAAAAATTTTCCGGTTCGGATTTATCACGAGGCAATAATAATAATAATATCGGATAGCGACCATATGTTGTTGTTATTGCTCTTCCCGTTGTTGTTATTTTTAAATTGTGAAAATTCGGGTAAAGAATACGAAACTTTGGCCCTTTTTATATAAGTTTTTTTTTTTTTTTAAACCAGAAGAAAAATACTAAGTCGTAAACGAAATCACCGTTGATAATAATAATAATAATAATTTTTGAAAATGGATCGAATAATAAATTATCCGGGATTAAATTTTTTTTAGAAAGAAAAATCATATCTGGAAGAGAAGAAAAAAAAAAATTTTTTCTCCCTCTCGATTCGTGATAATCCGAAAATATATTTAAAAAAAAAAAAAAAAGAAATGTGAGAGAATTTTCTATGTGGAATTTAATATAAAATTGAAAATACCGACGGGCAACAAATAAGAGAGAGAAAGAGAAAGAGAGAGAGAGAGAGAGAGTGTGTGTGTGTGTGTGTGTGTGTGTTTGTGTATATGAGTAAAATGAGAATGATAAAAAAAAAAAAGAAGAGAAAAAGAACGCGCGTTTGTGTAAAGTGAGAATAAAAAAGAGAAACAGAGAGAGTGTGTGTGTTTGTGTTGAAAAGAGAAAGAAAGAGTGTGTTTGTGTGGGTGTGTGTAAAAGAGAAAGAGAGAGATAAAACACTTGAAGACTTTATAATACTTTTTTAAAATCTTTTTCAGAAAATAAAAAATAAAAGAATGGATTACATTTTAAATTCGTTTATTTTGTATATATAGAAAAACCGAGGAAAGAATAAAATTTTGATTTCATTCATAAATTCCAGTAGCAGAAGACATTTAATAATTTTTACACGCTTTCCTTCATTCAAAACAAAGAAATTTTTTTTTTTTAAATCTACGAGATCTTTCATCGTTCGTCATTGACTTTTTGTCGAACAATATTCTTTTTTTTTCCAGCCTGCCAGCTTTCCAGGCTGCCAACATTCCAGCATTCAAGACTACCAACCTACCAGTCAACCAGCCAGTAAATAAAAGTAAAAAAAATAAAATCCACGACTCAATTTTTTTTTTTTTTGATACTAACTGAAAACGAAAAGTGATTTTTTTTTTTTTAAATCGGGAGACAAACAAACAGGATAGGATCCCATCGATTTCCTTTGGGAATTTCCTTTTGGAAAATAAAAAAATAACGACAAATGTTAAAAACAAAAAAACGACAAGATAAAAAAAAAAAAAATCTTTAAATTTACCATTTCTACTAATCCTCTTTTTCTCTCCCCCCCATTTCCCCCCTCCCCCGTTTCCCTTATTCATCATTAAAACCATTTTCCCCATTAAAAATTCTACGGGTTTATAAGATACCTTCCCGTATTTTTATTATCATTATTATTACTTTTCTTCCAAAAAAAAAAAAAACTTTCTCACGGATTTTTTATATTTTTTTTCGTGATTGCTATAGATAACGTTCCAAAAATTTAAAAAAAAAAAATGACAAAAGTTTTTTACGAAACCATTCATTTACAATAACGTCCGCGAACATCGAATTCTAACGAATTCACAATAAGAAAAAAAAAAATATGACACACTTACGCCAACAAACAAACAAACAAACAAATAAATAAAAAATTGTTTTAACAAGTGATGGCAAAAAAATTCGTATCAGAAATTTTTATTTTACATAAATAAAATATTTTTTTTTATTCCAGACTTTTCCAATGTTCTCAAATTTTTCTCTGATTGAATTTGAATGTTTTAAAATTTTTATAACGTGTCTGTGACGTCACTAACTTTTACGATAATAATGATAATAAAAAAAATGTATAAATAAAAGTGACGATGATACGTTTTTTTTTTCTTCCAGGTTTGTTCGATTTTAAATCTGGAACCGTTTATAAAAAAAATTGTTTCTTGTTTTTCACAATGTGATTGGTTGGTCGATGATTGTTTATGTTCGGACAAACGAATTTTTTTTCCAGTTTCCGGTTAACCACTACTATTCTCATACAGATAAGAAAAACAATATCCTAGTTGTCTACATCAATCAATCACGTGTCACCGTGTTTCATTTTATGTTATCCAATTCTAAACTTAATAAAAATAAAAAAAAACCTGGAGAAAAAGAAAATTTTTTTTTTTCCATCGAAAAAGGAAAAACTTTTTTTCATTTTTTTTTTTCGTTAAAATTCCATATCCAGTGTCTTTCTCGCTCTCTCTGTCTCTCTCTTATCATTGGAAAACAATAAATTTTTTTTTTTTTTTATAACCCTTTGAAAAAATTTATTATTATTATTATTAGTAATTTTTTTTTTTTGGTTTTGAGATTTGAAAAAAAAAAAAATATGGCGGACGAACGACCAAAGATTCTCTTCTACTATTCATTATAAACGTCAATTTTAATAAATCCCAACAATTTTTTTTTCCCCTCACTTTTTTTCCAGCACTTATTATTTATTAAGGAAGCATTTTCCAGTCTGGACAATTTAATTTTTTTTCTTTTTTTCCGAACGGAAAATTTTTTTTTCATTTTTCCCAAAGAAAAAGACAATCGGTAATAAAAAACAAAACTGAGAAGTAATGAGGTAAGGAGGGAGGGGAGGAGAGAAGAGGGAGGAAATACATAAAACTATAACTGGAAAAAAAATGTCATTTTTGTCAGCGAAAATAAAACAAATAAAAAAAAAACTGGAAAAAAGTTTTGGAAAATTGAAAACTATACGAATTTATTTTTATTGTAAAACTATAAATTGTAATTTGATTGCTTGCCCCGCCCCCGTTCCCGCCCCACCCTTCGCCCTCCGACAAATCTTCCCTTTTATGCTTTTCCTCCTCCCTTCCTCAGGGATTTATTATTAAATTTATTCTCTTTTTTTTATAGCTTATTAATTATTAATAAAAAAAAATTAACTTCCGGTTTTATAAAAAATTTATTTATTCTGTTAAAGCGTTTGGAAAAAAAAAATGTAAACTTTTTCTTTCTCTCTCTCTCTCTCTCTCTCTGCAGCGGCTGGAAACTGATTGGTTTTTCAATTTTCCATTTTTTTTTTTTCGGAAAATTTGGAAATCATTCAATTGTGAAAAAAGAAAAAAATTATAATTAAAATTTCACGGTTAAAACCGTTTCCTGGAAAATTACAACTGATTGACTGGACGGAAGGAAAATTTCTGAAAAAGACAAAAAAAGGAGTGGGTGGTGGGAGGGGGGTGTAAGCCGGAAAAACGTCAATACCAGATGAATAATAATTAATTTTAAATTATGACAGGCGAAAGGATTTAATATAAAAAAAAAAAAGACGAAGAAACAGAAGGAAGAAGAATTAAAAAAAAGGCGGGAAAAAATTATTTAAAATAAATAAATTTAAATAAAAACAAAGGAAGAGGGGAGGAGGAAAATTGATTGATAATGAATCGAAATTAAAATTTCGGAAAAGGTAGTTGTAATTAAAAAAAAAAAACGTGGCAGTAGTGAGAGAGTTTTAAATTATCGAAATTATTATTTTAAAAATTAATTTTTATTTTTATTTTTTTTTTTCCACTGGGTAAAAATTAAAAAAATTATGGCGGATCCGGGAGAAAAGCGTGATAAAATTAGAGTGGGGGCATGAAGAAAATTTCCCGAAAAAAAAACTTTTCCAGGCTTTTAAAAATTTTGCATGTAATTATATTTTAAAATTCTGATTTTTCGGGGGAGTTTTTATTTTCATCACATAATTTAAATAATTTATTCGTCATGTTTCCCACATCTTTAAAACTTTCTCCCTTATGTTTTTTTCAACCCTTTAATAATAATAATAATAATAATTTTCCAGTATTCCATACATATGGATATATATAATAGCAATTTTTAACGGTGAAAAACAGATAATAATAACAATAATTAATTATAGTTAATTTTAATTACGATATCAGCGTTGTTCTTATCGATCGATCGATCAATGACGTCATTAAACATAAAAATTGAAAAAAAAAAAAACAGAAATTTAAATTTGAAATCGGCGTAAAGTAAAAAAATTTTTTTTAAATTTCAAAAAAATATTCAAAAAAAGAAAAACAAAAATTTCATCTGGCGTTTCCGGTTATTTTTTTTTTAATTTTGAGTGAAAATCCAACAAAAAAAAAAGAAGAAATAATAATAATAACTTTAAAAAGTTTGCCAAAAAAAAAAAAAAGAAATTTTTTTCAATTTTTCCCAACTTTCCCGCCTTCCCCTCTTTCTTTTCCGCGCGCTTTTCATCTCTCTTTTCTCCAGCATCACTTTTTCAGAATCGTATTCAAAAAAAATTTTTTTTTCTTTTTTATTCACAATTGAATTTCTCTTTTTTTTCTTATTTCCACGTCGATTCAAAGTCAAACAATAAAAAAAAAAAAAAATTAATTAATTTTTTAATATAAATAATTAAAAAAACTTTTCCTTAACTGAATCATTTCCAAAAAATTTTCTTTTTCTTTTTTTTTCATTCGATATTTCAATTCGTATAAAAAAAAACAGAAAAACGTTTTTTAAAACGTTTAATTTAATCATTATTATTATCGTCATTATAACGCACAAACGTTTAAAATCCTATTAAAAAAAATATTAATTTTCTACTGCCACTTTTTTTTTTCTTTAATTTAATTTTTTATTATTAACGGTTGATCGGATCGCTTTTTAAATTTTTTTTTTTTTAAATATAATGACGAACGACAAGAACATTCAAATGAATGAATGAAAGAATGAATGAATGAATAAATGAATGATTGAATAATTGAATGATTGAATAAACAATTCTTTGACTTAAAAAAAAAAAAAAAAAAAACGAGCGAACGAATTAATTCCATTTAAAATTTAGGTTGTATTTATTATTATCGATTTAGAATTTTTTTATTTTAAAAAGATTAAAACTTTTACATTTAAATTTTAAGAAACTCCTCCTTTTTTTCTTTTTTTTTTTTCAAATCGGAAATCGAAAATTTTACTAAAAAAAAACTATTCAGGTTCGCCATTTTTGTTTTTTTACCTAAATAAAAAACAACGAAACGAAAAAATTTATTTTTTTTACAAGAGTCATTTAAACGATTATAATAATAATGATAATGACGAAGATGATGATAATAATGATGATTAATGATGATAAAAAATTCAACAAGTTTTTTTCGACGCGTTTTTTTTTTTTTTTGGAAAAATGCGTATGGAAAAAAATAGAAAGAAAAAAAAAATGAATTGAATTGTCTGTTTATTTGTTTGTTGTCGGTTTTTTTATCGTTTGTCTCGTTATCATTATTATTATTATTTATGATTTTACTGTGGCGGTGGTGCCGGTGATGCTGTTATGACTGCCCTGCCTAAGAATAAAATAAAACAGAAGAGAGTCGTAAAAAAAAAAAAAAAAAACCCCATTTAAATTATTATTACCATCATCGTCATCGTCATCATCATCATCATCACTATTATTATTAATATCATTATTATAACATAAAGTGATTTATTTTTATTGTTTTCTCGAATTAAGAATTAATTGCCAAAGTATTTAAATTTAAATCGCCATTTTTACGACCTCAAACGAATTTTTTTTTTTATTTTGATTCCGTAAAAAAATTTATCGCGGTAATTAAAAAAAATTTTTTTTTTATTTTTATTTTATCACAAGTCGAAAATGATGATCTTTTCCCCTTCCCCGATTTCCCCTCTTCTCCCCAATTCCCCACTGACTCAATTTAAACAAATAAAATTCACGAAATTATTAAAAAATCACGTGAAATTAACAACGTCGGAAAAATATTTTTTTTAAATTGGAAAATCCTGTAAAATTTAACCATTTCCTGATTATGTCTTCAGCAGACGATTATTTGATAATAATGATTGAACAAACCCACGAAAATCTCACCAACCTCCCTCTCTTCCCTCTTCCTCGCTAACATAATAATAATAATAATTTTTATATTTAATTAATAAAGCCAAAAAAATCATAAATTCGCTTGCGAACGTTTTTTTTTTTTAATTTTAAATTATTCTAGAAAGTTCCACGTAATATTTTGATAATAAAGCATAAATTTAACGTATTTTCATTTTAATTAAAAAAAAAAAAAATTTTAACTTTTCTATTTTTTTTTTTTTTTTGTCAAAGACTTTTGATTTTTAATTTTACAAGAGAGTATAAAAAAAATTTCGCGCCAAAAATGTCAACAGACACGTGTGGGAGAGATGGAAGGGGGGTGTGTTCGAATCGGGGAGAGAGATAGGGGGAGGTAGAATTTTGTTATGAAAACCGAATCCGGC